CGCGGCACTGGAGCAGCGGCAGCTGTCCGCAACATCAGCAGTGCATTGGCGGAGGACACCACTACCATCATGACTGTCCATCTTTGGTTCGCTCGCTTCGCGAAAGGAGACACGATCCTCGAGACAACCTCGGTTGGGATGGCCCCACGGAAGTGGAATTAATAACACGTAATTAGACTCCACCATTCTCGAAGCTGTCAAGGAGGATCCGGAGGCTACCACCCGCAGTCTTGCGACAAGACTCGGATGTACCTAACTGACAGTCACCGCCTGTAAGCCTTTGACTACCAAGAAGTACTGGCTCGATGGATCACTCATACCTTGACCGATGGCAGGCTGTGCACCTGGGTACCCCTTGGTGAGTCTCCCCTTCTCCGCCCTTGTCAGAAGGAGTTTTAAGGAGACTGCTTAGTGGACATGAGAGATGGGTCCTCTGTGATTTCAACTCACACAGTACCGTGTGTCTCTCTCAAGAAGACCCATCCTAGCAGTCCAAACCGGGCATGGTTCCGAGAAGGTTCTTCTTTACTGCTTCTGGGACGCGAAGGGAATGCTGCACAACAAGCTGCCCATATGAGAACACACGGTCATCGCTACCATCTTGTATCGCTCAGCTCCTGAAACCGGTGGAAATTGTCGGAGAAAAGTGACCGAGACTAGCTTCGGGGCACCTCTTTCGTAGTACGCGAGACCCCATACCTGCTATGGAGACCTACCAAATAATTGAGGAGCAAGGCTGGGAGACCAGTCCCCGCTTATCATATTCTCCTGACGTAGTCCCCTAGACTGCTACCTGCTCCGCCTCCTTAGGGCTTTCTTAGCTAAGAAAACTTTCAGCAACTTTGATGACATCAGTCGAAAGGCCGCTGACTTACTCTACTCGCAGCCTCCTTAGTTCTGGGAGGAGGGAAAGGCTCACCTGTCCATTAGGTAGAGCACTATAGTGGCTAACTATGACGAGCATATTGTTGACTAATTCCCACTGTATGTTGAGTTAGAAAATAAAAAAAAGTCTGAAGTCTGGGACGCTTGAAGTTTCCCCATTTAATTTGCTCACAGCCTCGTGACCTGTTGCTGTTTGCATTGCATTTGTATATCTATATCAACGACAGTCATGCCTACGCTGTGGCGCTAGACAGTCAGATGGGATAGCTTTGCATTTCTAGTGCCTGAAGAGAGTGACGAAAGAATTTGACTCGGCAGGGTCTTAAATACGGCGTCATCTTCATCACACGTGCCGTGCAAGTTATTCGCATAACAACTGCATCCCTTTTTGACCGGAACCATTCAGTTCAACGCAGAGCATGACAGGTTGGCTTCCAGAAGCGATATGGTCTTGTAGTTCTGCCCAAATTGTTCTTTTTCCTCATCGTGGCATCCGCTTTGTGGAGCGTAGGCCAAAAACACACACACAAGCCAACGCCGCTAGGTTCCAACATCAGTCGTTGCAGAAAGAATCTATCCGAGTATCGCAACTTCTCTGCATCCTAGCTAGGCAGCTCTGGGTTGCCGAAAAAAGTCACGCCTTTTCTGTTCGTCGCCCGAGATAGATTGGAGACCCGTCTTATACGTCGCGCGATTTTTCCCCTCCCATCGCGTCTCCTTTATGAATGCGAGGTCCACTTTACGTATCTTCAATATCTCGGCTAACTCGTCGCTGCATCCTGTGAGTGAACCAATATTTAACGTGGAAATCCATAGCGATTGTACGTGATTCTAGATTCTATGAGCTATTCCTCCCTTGACTATTCCGATCTTGAAATGGAATCCTTATGGCTGAGTGGGCTTGAATGATGTTGTTCAGGTATGAGGAGATTGATCCTGATGGAGAACGAGTCCAGCTACTTGGCGAGGAAGAAGAGGATGAGTTTATTGGAGTGAGGATTATTGCTTTTGTTTATCCCTGTAATGGCTGTCACTTCGAAAGCTGTTTAGGAGGCCGTCGAAGATGAGCAAGAACTCAATGTAATGAACAGCGGAGACGAAAGTGGTGACGAGATAATCCGAGCAGCACCACGATAGCACTTAATGTTATTGTATTAGTTTTTCCAAGAAGATTTTGGATAAAAAAAAGAAGAGTTTCACTGCTTCACTGCTCATGAGCCATTCACCTTCAACTTGAAAATATTGTGTTTAGTTCGAAAATTTTATCTTCTGTAGCAATGTGATAATAAACTAACTTCTTCACGTCCATTATACGGTCTCAAATGCGCAGAAATGACAGCAATGAATTCAACTTTTTATAGGTCGGAAGGAAAGTAT